CATTCTTTTATTATAGCTTAAAGTTTGGGAAATCTGGTTTTCTATTTGCTTTTTGGTAGGACCCTAAGGAGAATCAGAAACTTCTTTGTTAATTCCTGGATATCTAGGTCTGCACTAAAACCCTGTCCTGCTCAGTCTGTGAAAGTTTTCTCATTAGCATCAGAGGCCAGGATTTCACCTTTGGTTTTCTCTGAAGCAGCCTGAAAGTGATCTACATTTGTTAAACACCATTTTTGTGATATGCAAACAGAATGCAATCTCACATCTGAGATTCCCAGTAAAGTGCAAAAGGTGTTACTTTTCTTAGTTTTCAAGACATTGCTTTTTATATTTCTAGGTAATGAATTACGGCCTGATTCATTCTCTGGTGGCATGGATCTTTATGGAGAACAAAGGCATTCCTATAGATCCAGGTCAGACATGGAGTCTCCTGTAAACTTTCAACATAAGTATGTTTTATTTTAGATCATTAGTTAAACAGTGTTCTGACAGACAAATAAATGAATGTGTCAGTACCTACTGCTAAGGTTTGTAATCTTTGATGCCATAAGATTTTTTTTTTTAATGTTTTTTTGTAAAGATACATAACAAATTACATCTCAGGCCTTCAGTGTGCATTTACTCATCACCTGATCAAGGCCAACACTTGCAGACTTCTGCTGTCTGATTTATGTCATGTTCTTGGGACTGGTGGTCAGTCGCTGTATCTGTAGAGTCTAGGCTTTGTGACCAAGCGAACCTGTCCACCTTTCCGGTTGGCAGCAGAGTGTGGCACGGAGAGGGGCTGCCCCGGGTGCACTCGGCCGAAGGAGGGGAACAGCAGGGCCGCTCGCTGTGCCTGGGGAGCGTCATCTGGTTACTGGGGGCTGGGAGGAATTACTGCGGCCTCGTGGCCAGAGCGCGGAAGGAAGCTGCTTGGTAGCGCTGCTGCTGCTGCTTGGTTTTGGTTGCCTTTTAGTTGCCTTTTGGCTGGCTGTACTGAGGTGTGATACCAGCAGGGTATCAGTGAATCAGATGCCAGTGAAACCAGGTATTTTTTGTCAAAGGCAATGTTTTTATGAGCGCCATCAGCCTTTGATGGATTTATATGGAGAGTTCTGAGCTCAGATCTTTACTGAATATCAGATTCTAGCCATTTTGGTTTTTCATTTTTATATAAACCACTTCAACATTTGTAATCTTAGTTTGTGGCAAACCTAACAGTTTAAATGGAAAAAACATTTAATCTATTTTAGCCATTTTTGACTTCTGCTTATAGAGAGTAACAGAGAGAGACAGAATCCTGTAAAGATGGCTGTGTCCTTGTTCACACAAGCATCTTAATAGGAAAGCAAACTTGACTCTACCACAGCTTCTGCTGCAGTCTCAGTAGGAATTTGCTGGTCGGTCTTTGTCCCAGAGAAATGCAGCAACAAATCAGGTGCAGTAGAAAGAAAAGGTAACTGGGAAAAGCAGTTTCTCTGGGGAAGGCACCATGATGGCTTGAGCAATAAATGGCAGGGAGGTTAAATGGGTGAGACATGCTGGCTACCACATGGGTAAGTTAAGGGACATGCAGTCAGTAAGGTATCCCTACTTACAGTATTTTGCTGTGTCTGCTGATATTTTTGTTTTACTTCAGATTTTGCTTTTTGAAAACATGTGTGTTCTTCTGCTCCTAGGTTCCACGGGACACATGCTGATTTAAACCCAGTCTCTTTCGCATATTCTCAACTGCAGAACTATGATCCTGAAAGAGCTTTAACAGATTACATCAATCGGCTGGAGGCACTACAAAGGCGACTCGGCAGTGTGCAGTCAGGTAAGGGCTTGGGCAGTCCTCCCTGTGACTCCTGAGTAGCACAAGGCACGGTTCCAAGTTGGAAAGTGCCTGCTGGTTCTCCGACATACGTAACAAACATCTTCGATTTTAGGCATTTTCAGCCTTAAACAAGAGGCTATTCTGAGCCTAATGAGCAAAAAGCTCATTAAAAAGAAAATTGTAAAATTCTTTGAAGGGAGATGTGCTTTAATTACAGATTTTGAGTTTATTGGTAACATTTTAACTTTCCCTGGTCTCTAATAAATGTGCAGCAAGGATTTAGTTGGCATCTTATTAAGATTTTAAGCTAGATGGAGAAAAATGTACCCAAAAGGTTGGGATGTGGGAATACAAGGGGAATTTCTTCTCCTACCACTCTGGTTACAGCCTTTTTGTCCCATAGTTGATGATAATTTTTTGTGCTGCAAAAGGAATACACCAAGAAAATTGTCAGATCAATGGGACATAATTTATCTAACTTGATTTTTGCAGTTACTGTGTTGAAGTCTTACTTCAGCATAAAATCCATCACTTGAGGAAGTTTTGTTCTTAAAAGATTTCCCATGTAAAATCTTTCACACTTATTCATCTGAATATCATGTCACTGGTGAATCCTCATGTACTTACTCCAAGTAATCTTGATGAAAATCTTTCTCCATCTTACAGGTTCGACTTCATACACTCAGTTGCACGCAGGTATGAGGAGATAATAATACCCTTTCAACATCTCCATCACTGGCAGTGATGTTAATGGATTGCCTTCCGTAAATCTGTGCTCCTTCTGTGCTTTTGTATCATGTGTATATTGTGGGACCAATATGAACACAGCGGTACGACTGTATACAGTTCCATCCTGGCACACCCATGCAGCCTGGGATTTATGTATATAGGCATTTTGTGTTCATGAAAAAAAAACAAACCCACCCACCCCCCCAACCCCCAAAAAACACAAAAAAAACAAAACAGAACAAAAACAACCAAAAAAACCCTCCACCATTAAATTACATGTATATTTGTGGAATGCTAATTTAAATGATTAACTTATGAAGTGTCTATTTATCAAAAGGGTGCGGAGATGAAACTTGTGTATTAATGAAATTGAGCTACATTCAGCAAAGTTTACTTGCACTTTTTCTGGCAAGGCTACTGAAGTTACATGACTCTCGTAATATTTGCTACTGGCAGTGCAGACAGAATATCACTTGTAGAGACCTATTTTTGTAATGGTAGAAGTTTTGAATTTTATGGGTATTTTGTCAAAGTACTGAAATAAAGATGACTTCATGCTTTTAACTGTGTGTCATGTCAGGAGTACGAGTCTGACGTGTGGCTGGGAATGCCCTCCCATTGAGTCATGAGGTTCAGAGGACCCCCTTGCTTTCTAAGCTCCTTCTCAGGGAGGAGTCTAGGTGTGGCTGGATCCACTCCTAGTCCCAGACTTGGTCAACACTTTGTGTCTAAAGGATTGTGTGTGTAGCCGCTTATCAGAGTCAACATTTGCCTGTCAGTGCCCTCTCAAGGACTCTCCGTGAAACAGTTTTACAAAGCTGAAGAGATAGGTGATTTACTAAAGCAACAGATAGAAGTTCAGAATTGCCATTGATAATGACAATTACTGCAGAAATTGAGCTCCAGTTAATGGTTCAATGCTTTTGTTATTGATGCTTTCCTTGGTAACAACCAAGAGAGTCAGAGGTGCAAATCTTACCAAAGAGCTGAACCTGCCTGGGGAAGAGAGGTTCAGGCCCGATGACCTGTCCTGTTGTTGGAGTTCTTGTCCTCAAAATAGAGGATTCTAAATGCCTGATTTATACTCTTGGCAAGGCGGGACTAAGTCAGTTATTGTGTGCTGGCTGGCTCTTAGCAAGGTTTGTAAATTCTAGAATGTCAGTGAGGCCATGGAGGGGGGGAAGTCAGTCTTCCTGCCTTGACTGAAGCAACATCGGGCTGTGAGACCTTTGCCTCACCCCAGGTGTCACTTAGTTGACTGGATGGCCAACCCAAGATAAGCACATTGCTCAAGTTGACTCCCTCTACTCCCTGCTGCCTGAGGGGACCTTTGCATTCTGCTCTAACCTGTCTGGTGTCCCAGGCGGTGCTCAGGCACCACTCCCTTCCTCACACCAAAAAGGGTGCTCCTACCTGCCCTCCCCCTGTGCCTGGTGTCTGCAGCTTTACTTTGCAGATTCCAAAGGGCTTCTGCTAATGAGAGGACAGGTACAAGCCTGGCTCCTGAAGACCCTGGTCACATCTGACAGGGCTGGAAGGGAAGGTACAGCACTCTCTTGGGTGCTGTCACTGATGGAAACAGAGGGCATTAGAACACACAGCCCTGCGTCTGGAACAGGAAAGACAGGGCAAAGCCCTTGCTCCTGTGAGCTCTTTTCATGACTGACTTCATACTTAGAAAACAGAAAGAAAGTTTATTACAAATTTACTTATAAAAGCTTTTCAGAAGGGACAGGTTGAGCACAGAAAACTTCCACAACGGTTTGTTTATAAATTTAATGCAAAGTTCCTGTGAGCCAGAGCTCACTACTACTTATCATCACCACTCTTGAACCAAACACGATTTAACAACCCTGCACGAGTCAGTACAAAGGGGGACAACATTCAGCTATTTCACTTAATTTGTGACCATTTTATACACAAACATGTTATTTACAAAATTCATACTGTTTATATCATCATATTGTTACTTTCACACTTACAGCAAGCTTCCAGAGATCACTACTTTCAGAAGGTTTTTTTAGAAAATTACTTGTTGCTTTTATAACAGCTTCAAGTTAGACACTTAACATCTTTTATTCTCAGAAAAGACTTCTCTGTGACCATTTTGTAGTCTGCCTACAACTCGGCTGATTATGTAAAAAAAAAGTTACTGTACAGCTAAGACCATCCCTAGTTCACTTGGAACAGAATCACAGATATCAAAAGTCCATTCCAAGCCTATTCCCCCATGGTGCCAGTTCCCTGACAGACTTACTGGCTTACCACAGAGGTATGGTACACAGTCTTACCTTTACTGGGGAAAAGTAATCTTTGATTCTTTTTCAAAAGCGAAGAGTTCCATTTATAGAAATTACTTATTTCTTCACCTTAAAGAGTTGGCATGCACTTTAAAAGTGTTACACCAATAGAAAAGACACTTTTTCTTTAAAAATGCAATGAGAAAGTTGTAGAACAAGCAATTACACACAGCAGCATTAAAGGGTGTGCGCAAACAAACAAAATTGATGCAAAGACTTTGCAGCTGGTAGATTATTGTTGCTTTCCTAACAGGAGATGCAACAGTTTCTATTTGCCACTCATTTTGTCACAATATTATTCAAAAGTTTGTTAGTTTTGTTAGAAAACACAACCTAACTAAGGTTTTAGCTCCAGAATTTACAGTGACCTCCTCTTGTATCTGATAACAGGGTTATTAGGTGTATGTATCATTGTTGTATAATTTATAGTTGGAAAATAGTCATCAATGAGATCAAATTCATACAAACGAAGCAAAGTAGACCAGATAGTCTTAATCTGAACATAAGCAAAGTGTTCTCCAATGCAGCGATGACGGCCTAGAAGGAAAGCCATAAAAAGCAGTTAGTTAGAATATTAAATCACCTTGGACAAGAAGCTAACTTACAAGTTTTATGCAGACAGTAATTGCTTCTTTCTAAACAACGTGAGGCCCTGATGTTGCACATACACCACTACAGAACTCCAAAGTCTTGTTTTTATATGCTGTCACTGCATTCAACAGACCGAGTAATTTCAATGAGATTGTGGTGGTCTGTCCTCACCAGAAAGTGTTAATTTATCTATCACCAAAGAAGCAATTGCAGCACTGAGAAAAGATATCAGCTCTAACCCTGCTGTGGTGGTATCTGCAAACTCTTTTGGCAGTTGCAAGTCTATACAGATTTTTGCCCTGCCTTAAACTGACTTTATATTACCAGGTTTTTACCTTGCCTTGAAAAGACTTGAGTCAAACAGCACACATGCTAACCTAGAGATCTGTTTTGATTGCTTCTGGGTGATGTATACAGCTGTTACTCATGCAAAATTATCGACTTCATTCTTTTAACAGCACTTCCACAGTAAGAAAGCTTTCAGGCAGGAATAGAAAGAAAAAAAGTAAGTCCTCAGCTGTGGGGGGGGTGCTGTACTAGATGACCAGCATGCACCACTTCAGTAGGCAATCACTCAGGAAGGCACTGTGTTTTCTTACTCACCAGCACCAAATGGAACGTACGCAAATTTCTCCCCAGCTGCTGGGTTATCTTGGAGATACCGGTCAGGCTTGAAGTCTAGAGCATCTTTCCAGGAGGCTCTGAGTCTGTGGTTAACAGTGGGAGATACACAGACCTGATGGCCGGGGGGAATACTATATCCAGCGACAGTCTACAAGAGAAGAGACAAGACCCCATACATCACAAAATTTCTCCATTTTTAAAGTGTTACCGGAAGCGCTGTATCATGAGGCTTGAAATTAGTTCTAAAGAGATTTTGGCTAAGCTTGTTTAAAGTTAATGCAGCCTAATACTTTATTGTTTTACTTGTACAGGGCACAGTGTTCAAGCAATTGCAGGAGCCTTCCAGCTGCTTTAACAAGCCTTCTACAGAAAGAGATTTAAAAAAAAAAAAAACAAACTTAATTTATTGAAAACATTTGTCATGGAGGGTCATTTGTTTAAAAAAATTATTTGACTTTTTATCTTATTTCTACAAATAGCAAGTCTTCTTTCAGATTTACCTAGCTTCTACTGCATGAGGTGCAAGCCAAATTTTTCCAAGATAGCTATTAAAAATACCTGGCAAACAAAAATTATTTTTAAATGGTAGCACCAAACTAAGCTCAAGTGAGACCGATAGCTAAAAGAAAGGGTCAGTTTTGCCAAGTAAGACTGCACGTGGCTGTTACTAGGTCCTCTCTGAGCCCTCCCTTCTCCAGGATGAACAAACCCTGTTCCCTCAGCCTCTCCTCACAGAAGTGCTCTGACCCTGGACCATCTTGGTGGTCCTCTGCCTGCTTCAATTCATCAACATCTTCATGGCTGGGGGCCAGAGGGCTCCAAAACTGGACCCAAACCATTCCAGCTGAAGGTGACAACTACCAAGTTAAGGCATTAATTGCTCTCAATGAACACTGGCCACGCTCCCACAGATATAACCCAGGCTGCCATCAGCTTCCATCCATGCCAGCAAACACTGCTCACTTGTGTTTTCCTTCTGCCAAGGAAGGGGGCAGCCCCCACCTGGCCTTTGCCAGCCCTGGCCTGCTGGAGGGGAGGTAGCTCTAACACGTGGACTCACTTGGGGAGTTCTGGCCATTCTCATTATGGTCATTATAGGAGGTCTAAGCCTTAAAGTTTCTTTTAGGCAGCGATCCAGCAAACTGAGATCCTTGAGCTGAGAGAAAATGATGTATCAAAATATAGCAAAGTTTATTCAACACAAACAAAGTGGTATTTTATACCATTTAAAAACAAATTTGAAAAAAAAAAATCAGAGTAAGCAGCTTGTATCTATGTGTACTTTATTACCTACCCTGATAATTTCTTTTTTTTTTTCTATTTGAGTCAATAAAGAAGGAAAAAATCTCAACCAGTGCAATCAAATGCCTAATTAAAGAACAAGAACAAGGTCACACTGCATCCCTTTCCTCAGTGGGAATATGAGGATCTGCCTCCTCTACAGAACTATCATTTCTTAAATAGACAAAACAGTAGCAAGCTGAAAATTTACTTGGAGAGGAGACAGAGAAGATATATTGGCAAACACTGTTATCACGGAGTGACTGTGCCAGATTATGATTCTAACACAAAGCATATGACTATATTTCACATCTGTTTGTTGGTTGTTTGGTTTGGGGTTTTTTTTTAATCATCTAAAGTATAAAAATACCCAGCAGAATAACATGAACATACAAACCTGGTCGTAAGTTAATGGTGGCAGGTCATCCCCACAAACTGCTTTTTGTTCTGCATAGCACTGTTCCTGTATTGATTTGTCTCTGGCTATGAAGAAGCCAAGCCAGGCACTAGTGGTGGAGGATGTGTGCTGCCCCGCTAGGAGCAGCCCAATAAACATTCCAGCAATTTCATCATCTGTCAGCGGACGGCCATCCCTAGGTTGAAGGGCATTATGTTAGAGCTTCATTTGATCAGGCTACAGTAGCATTTACAATTTCTTCTAATGTACTTCTTTCTCCTTCTCTTTTGTTGCCTACCCTGAATGGAGCAGCAAAAGATCGAGGGGTAGGGAGAAGGGAGAACAGAAGGAGAGAGACTCTATAGGAGGGGGAGCCTTAATGAAAGTCATTACAGAACAACCAGCAAAGAGAAAGGAAGCAACCTCGTGACCACTGATGAAAGTCTCAGAAACCTGAATAACCATTTACAAGTACAGTTTTTAAGCTGTTTTTAAGAATACAGAACAAAAACAACTGAGAACATGAGGGAATACTTCTTATTTTTTGGTAGATAGTTTTAACTGAGAATCTTAAATCTAAAGTAAAACATCTATAAATGACAAGTCTTCAAACCCTTCGCTTACTTGTATGAAGCATCAAGTAGAGTTTGGAGTATGTCATCCTCCTTTTCCTCAGACTTTCGACGTTTCTGGATAACCTTGTAGAAAATACTCTTTATTTCTTTGTGTGCTCGATCTCGACGTCTGCAATTCAAAACACTTCTATCAGCAGCTTCATACGAAGTAACACATAAAATGCTTATGAGGATTTATTGAGACGTCTGGACTAGCTTACAAACAAGAGATAAGGGGCAGAGGGGGAAACCAACAAAGACGTTTAGATAAAATACTTGTTTCATTTGTTATTTCTGGTACCTGAAGCTCGGCAGAGGTAGCCAACCTGGCAGAAGCCAGGCAGCATGAGAAAAACCTCCATCCAAATCGGCATACAGCTGAGCCATCTTCTCATTCAGCAAGCTTCTTATTTCTTTCCCATGTAAGCAATGACTTGCTGTCAAAATGATAAGTTCTGAAAAGGCTTTAAACAGGTCTGAGGAAAGATTTGAAAAATGTTACTGAAGATGCATTCAGGTGAGATGTTATGTTTTACAGGTTATTCTTTATTTTTCTTTTGTGTAAGGGAAAAATAAGTAACTGGACACAGATCAATAACGTTACATAGAATTTGAAATTGTTTTACTAGGAGAACTGAAGCATCTAATTTTAAATTTCTGTGTCTATCGGGTCTCTCTTCAAACAACTTTTTAATTAGAACACAATTTCAAAACCTTTTTTCTAAGGTATTTCTTTCCAGAAGTCGTACAAAAATTTAACCTTGAAACCACTTAGTTTTGCTGCTTACTAAATTATTTTTATATAATAATATTTACACATTATCCTATCATTGGCTATTATTATAATATAAATTACTTACAAAATAAACAATACATATTATATATTATATAAATATTACACATTTAAACATATGTTTAGATAATATTTCTGACACTGTTGCGCCACTGTGGGCTTGCAACAATGGTGATGGGCTACATCTAGCAGGCTAGTTGGGAAAGGTAAGTGGGAAATAAAAGAATTCCACTTAGATCACTATCTAACTGCATCAGCTTCAAGGATGCAGTTTTTCAGCGCAGAAGATCCCTGGGCTGAGATCTCTGACCCAGGCTCTGGGAAGTCAGAGCAGTATCTTTTCCTCAGGACGACGAGGTGGTTACACTGAGCTGACTCATACCATGCAAAACAAGCACGATTCAACCAGGCAACAGGTACACTCTCTATCAGCTGACTAAGAAAGCAAAAGTAAGATAGTTCTTCACTCCTTTCAATGATTTTCTGAGCAGCTTTATTCTCCAATAGCCTACAATTTGATTAAACAAAATCTGGATTTTGCATGTTTTGTCCGATGCACCGTATGGTTTTACCTATGTCATTTTTAGTTTCTTTTAATATTACAGTAAAGGTTTACAAAAACATACTGCATTGGCCTTAATTCCTTCACAGAAAATCAGAGGAAAAATGCATCTGATCTTGCTTACCTTTTTCTCCACTCTCTCCCCATGCTTTGAAATACTCCTTTGTTTCTTCTTCAATCACAGATACGTGCTGTTTAAACTGGGCAATATTTAGCCCAGTTTTGAGCATCTTCTTCTGTTCCAAAAATACCTAGACAAATCAAGACAGAAAAAGCAATCAGTACAAGGATATCACACTGATCTAATTAACAACTTATCCTTTGTACTATAATAACATACAGAAGTAAAAAGAGATTATGATTAGGACTGCAGGGTACAACAGATACTCAAATTTAAATAATAGGTAATATTTAGGTTTTCACCTTCTTTCTTTTTCAAATAAAACTTCAGTAACATCCAAGTAAAATACTAGCTGAAGGGAGCTACAATTCTCTCTTTTGCAGTACCAGAACAAAAAATAATTTTAGTAGCTGTGTTAAACTTTATCCCTGAAGATACAAGAAGCATTCAAGATTGAAATATGGAACGCACTTTAGATGATACATAATCACAAACATCATCAGACCTGTCGTTGCAAAGTCTGGATTCTGTGTTCTTTGTTATGTGGCCTCCTTGCTTTCTCTCCCCCACAGCATCTGCCTCCTCTCATGCAGTAACACCTTACCTCTGGTCTAGAGATGCACCTTGCTTTTACTAGGCCCTCTGATCTCACTGCCCAGGAAGTCAGACACAGAAGCAGGAAGCAAACTGCTTCCTAGGAAAATGGTGAACTTTACGTCCTTCTCACCTCTTCCTCTTTTTCTTTGTATAGACTCTTAGCTAACAAACCTACTGGTAAAAAGCCCATTGTTAGAAGAGAGCCATTCAATGGATTGACAGGACATCAACTCAGAGAATTATTCAATTAATTTTAAAGCCCTAATTATGAATAAGGGCATCTATCCTACAGATCTGCACTGTGCCATGAGTAATACACCAAAAATTGTCTTCCCACCAAGGGTTCTGCACGTACTATGCACTATACCGCACATAGTATTATTTGCACTGTTAAGTGCACTATTAAGTTTTGCACAAAACAAAAGGCATAAAAAGAAAGGTTACTTCCTAGAAACTTCTGTTTTCAGAATGCAGTGGGGAGTCCAGCAGTCTGTCAGAGGGTACACATGCCACAGAGCACAGAAAGAAGCGTATTTTCCCTTACAACATGCTAGCCAATCTCCATGTCCAGCTTGACAGAGACAGGAATGGCACAGAGGAGTGAACCACATCCTCTGCCCTTTCAGCTCCTCTCAATGCAAAACTATCTACAAGAGGTTTGGAGGGAGGAGACAGAGACTGAATATGACTTGATATATAGACTATGCATATTACCAGAATTACTGGTAAATAAGTAACTTCTTCCTTCTAAAGAGTAAGGAGTGGTTCTTCTAAACACGACTGAAAGTCACTGTCAGACTGAAGAGACACAGACTTAGCAGCTTCAGCAAAGAGAAGGGGGTCTCAAAAGAAAGTTCTGGATGATCCGTCAATGGCAGGACACCAGTGAAACTTTGAACGGCTCTCTCAATGCCCTCCCAGTAGATGTCTGAAATTAAATTGTTGTGGTAGCACCATGCAAAAAAACAGCTCACCTCAAGCAGAATGCATTCTAGCCACAACCAGACATGCTACCTCTCTAAAGGGAAAGACACAACTAGAGATAATCAGTTGTTGTGGTTCCACCCAGCAGGTAGCTAACCACCACACAGCCGTTTGCTCACTCCCCCCACAGTGGGATGGCAAAGAGGAGTGGGGGAAAAAAAAGACAAGAGTAAAATTCATGGGTTGAGATAGAGACAGTTTAACAGGGTAGAAAAGGAAGGGAAAATAATAATAGAATTAGAATATACAAAACAAGTGATGCACAACGCAATTGCTCACCACCCACCAACCGATGCCCAGTCAGTTCCCGAGCAGCTGTCTCTGGCCAGCTTTACCCCCAATATATATACTAAGCATGACATCATATGGTATGGAATACCCCTTTGGTCACCTGGGGTCAGCTGTCCCAGCTGTGTCCCCTGCCAACTCCTTGTGCATCCCAAGCCTTCTCACTGGCAGGGCATGAGAAGCTGAAAAGTCCTTGACTTTTAAACACTACTTAGCAACAACTAAAACATCAGTGTGTTATTAACACTATTTTCAACCTAAAACCAAAACACAGCACTGTACCAGCTACTAGGAAGCAAATTAACTCTATCCCAGCCAAAACCAGGACATCAGTGTATGTCAATAGCAAAGTCCCTGCATCTCCTAGCTGTGGAAAAAAGTAGCCCAGGTGATTTTCTGAGGAACCTGAATCTGGAGAGGTAAAAAGGAAGAAGTCCGTCTAGTATCAAAGGTATCAATTAAGTAGACTTATCCAGACACCTAAGGCTTACTCAGTAATACAAAAAGATTAATCTCTTGACTAAAGCAGAACTCTAACACACTCTAGGG